GTGGCTGCCGGCCTCTCACGCCGGCTGCCAGCCACTCACGGTAGCTTATGGCAGCCCACTGCAGCTTCACTGCAGCCTACACCATCGCCGGCAACTCACAGCAGCCCAGCTCCAAGTCGAGCTGTTGTTCACCATCTTAGCTATAGAGGGCGCAGTGTCACTGGCCCTAATGTGGGATCCAAACCAGGGCCCTGCTGCTCAGAGCTGGCGTCCCAAGCCAACTCTTAACCAACGTGCCATTGGCCAGCCCCTCTTGTGACTGATTTTGATTAAAAGTCTATTTTTATCTGACAAAAGTATAGACACTCCTGCTCTCTTTTGGTTACCATTTATATGGAATATCTTTTTCCATCCCTTCAATTTCAGCCTACATGTGTCTGTAAAACTAATGGGAGTCTCTTGTAGACAGCATATTGTTGGATCTTGTTTTTTAATCCATTCATCCACTTTGTGTCTTTTGATTGGAGAATTAGTCCATTTACATTTGAAGCAATTAATAAGTAACACATATTACCATTTCTTTAATTGTTTTCAAAAATGTTTTAGTTTCTTTTTTCCTTTCTTCCTCTCTTATTGTTTTTCTTTGTGATTTATTTTTTGCATATGTTGTTTGTATACTTTAATTCCTTTCTCTTTATCTTTTTATGTAACTACTATAGGTTTTCTCTTTGTGGTTACCATGAAGCTTACATAACACATCTTATACATATAACAGTCGATTTTAAGCTATTGACAACTTGCTTTCAATCACAAAAACTCAACGCTTTTACTTCCCCTCCTCCAATGCTTTATGGTATTGTCACACTTTACATCTTTTTTTATATTGTGCATCCATTAACAAATTATTATAGCTGTGGTTATTTTAGCTTTTATAATAGAGATACAAGTAATTTATATACCACCATTATAGTATTAGGATATCTGAATTTAACTACATATTTACTCTTACCAGTGAGTTTTATACTATCATGTGTTTGTGTTGTTGCCTAGAATCCTTTCATTTCAACTTGAAGAATTCCCTTTAGCATTCTTGTAATGGCAGGTCTAGTGGTAATGAACTCCCTTATTTATTTATTTATTTATTTATTTATTTATGTATGTATGTATGTATGTATGTATGTATGTATGTATGTATGTATGTATGTCTGGGATAGTCTTTATCTCTCCTTAATTTCTGAAGTACATTTTTGCTGGGTATACTGTTCTTGCTTGGCAGTTTTCTTCTTTTACCATTTTGAATATATCACCCCACTGTGTCTTGGTCTGCAGGGTTTCTACAGAAAAATCCACAGATGGGCTCATAGGAGTTCTTTCGTATGTGATGAGTTGTTTTTCTCTTGCTGCTTTCAAAATTCTCTTGTCTTTGACCTTTAACATTTTGATGATAATATGTCTCATAATAGTCATGTTTGGGTTCATCATCCTTTGAGCTTCCTCTACCTGGATGTCCATTTCTCTCCCAAGATTCGGGAAGTTTTTCACTACTATATTTTTAAATAATCTTTCTGCCCCTTTCTCTCTTTTTCTTCTGGTACTTTCATGATGCACACATTTGTTTGCTTGATGGTACCCTATAATTTACTTAGGCTTTCTTCACTCTTTTTCATTTCTTTTTTCTTTTTGTTCCTCTAACTAGCTATCATATTTTGCTGTGTATAATGAGCACCCACATTTTTGGTTCAAACTTTCAGAAAAAAAATCTTTTGTTTTAATTTTTTAATTTAAAATTTTATTTGTTTACATTTAGGTACTTTTTTATATTATAAAGGAATTTTAGCATTTATTTTTTAACATATTATGGTACAAGAAATTTTATGTAACAAATACAAAACACAGAAACAGATACAAGGTGCAAGAAATTTTGTGTACCAGTAGCAAATTTACAATATTTGTGCATCATAGAAGGTCAAGAACTCTTCGTCGTTACAAGTTCATCTTAAGTTCACAAAACCGATTGTCATATTCCAGGGTATTATTTTGCATATGGCTATTGTTATTGATTTCTGTAGTTACACTTTTAACTCATAAGCATAAATAGAAGAATTAAAAACATTTATGTAGATATGGAATTAGTACTACCCATGTATAATGCACATTCTTATTTTTCCTTTGCAAATTTGGACAAAAAGGTGCACATTATAAATGGGAAAATATAGTAATTTCAAATAATTGGTCTTCAAGTTTGCTAATTTTTTTCTTCTGCATGATTAGGGCTGTTATTGAAACTCTCTACTGAATTTTTCAACTCTGTTAGTGTATTCTTCAGCTCTAGGATTTATGTTTCGTTCTTTTTTGTGGTTTCTGTTTCTTCTTATTAAATACATTTTGTTCATGAATTATTTTCATCATTTTGTTTATTTGTCTATCTATATTCTCTTGTATTTCATTCAGTTTGTTTAGATGATTATTTTGAATTCTTTGTCAGGCAAATCATAGATCTCTATTTCTTTGGAGTCATTTACTAGAGTTCTGTTAGTTTCCTTTCAAATTTTCCTGATTTTTCATGAACTATGTAGCCTTGCATTGGTATCTGTGCACTTGTGAGAACACTTCTTCCAGTCTTTACAGACTGGTTTCAGGTGATAAAGACCTATGTTTGTTCCCTGAGGTGATAGGGTTACCTCTGGAATTGCAGTTGTATTAGGTTGGAGCTGATTATGAGGCTGTCACTGGTCTGCAGTGAGGTCTGTGGTTAGTGGGTTTGTTACCAGGGCTGAGGCTGGGTGGATCCTTTCTGGTGCCTGGGCGGATGCAACTGCCTCCAGTACCTTATTCAGTAGGGTGGCACTTGGACAAGGGTCCACATATGGGTTCTCAGATAGTGAACGTATTACAGGTAAATTATCTGCCTCGAGGCCCCTGGGAGGACTGCTGCCTGGTCACTGAGTGAGTCCCTGAATGGGCAACACTGACCCTGAACTGTGGCTGTGAGGGCTGTTTCAGATTCCACAGCCAAGGCTGAGATTCACAGACCTGGCTCTGCAGCCATGGATGGGCATGTTTTCCCTCCAGGTCACTGGATAGACTGGATTGGTCCCTGACCATGACTAGAGGGGCTGGAGTGGCATATAGGGTCCTTTCAGGATCTCCTGTGGTGCAAGTCATGTCTGTCTCTGGGTCCCTGTGCTGGTAGGACTGCTCATGGTTTATAGCTTGGAGGAGCTGAAGCTGATTTAGGGCCTTTTGAGGATCTTCAGGAACGCAGACAGGAGTGTTTCCTGCTGGGTCCCTGTGGCAGCAGGACTATTCAGACTTAAGTTGGGTGGGGCTGGAACTGAGTATAGGGCACTCTTAGAGTCTCCAAGGTTGCAGACAGGAGCGTTTCCCACTGGGACCTTGGTCCCTCAGGACTGCTGGCTGACTATGGCTGTGAGAGGGCTAGGGCTATGTATTGGGCCCTTTCAGTTTCTCCAGGTAAACAGATGGGAGTGTTCCTGCCTGGTTCCTGTTCCAGTAGGCCTGTTTATGGATTATGGCTGGAGGGGACCTGAAATAGAGTATAGGGCCCTTTCAGGGTTTCCAGATGGGAGTGTCTCCAGCTGTGACCTTGGACTCTCAAGACTTGGCAGACTGTGGCTGTGAGGAAACTGGAGCCACACATAGGGCTCTTTTAGAATCTGCACAGATGGAAATGTATCATGTTTGGTGCCTATGCCAGCAGGCCTGCTCAGCAGACTGAGTGAGGGGGCTGGTCCCTTTCAGGATTTTGGTGTGTGCAGATGAAAGTATCTCTTATGGGGTCCGTGTGCCCGCAAGACTATTCATGAAATATGGCTGGGGTGGTCTTGAGCTCTGTTACAGGGCCATTTCAGAATCTATAACCTGACCAAATTTGTCAGGCTTAACTCCAGGGGCTTCTGTGCTGCAGCAGAGAGGGGCTGGAGTTGGTCAAAGGCCTCTTGTGGTTCTGCAAGCAGGGACCAAGGTCTGTATGCCTGTTACCTGATGCATGGGTGGGTGTGACTCCTCTGGGTCCCTTGGTGTATGGCATTTGCTTGTTACCAAATGCAAAGCCAAACAGGGCTATAGCTGAGTTCTCATGGGGTACAGAGCTATTTCTATTTCTGTAGCCAAGACCACAGTTAGTGAGTCAGCTGCCTGGGTGTGAGCATGCCTTCTCAAAATGGCTCTCTTCATTCTTGGACTTCATCAGTATTTCACAGTCTCCCACTTGGATCTGGAGGCTCTCATGAAGGCACTTTTGTGTGTGTATGGATGCCAAAATATAGTTGTTGAGGGAAGATATATGTGATGGTTGTCTTATTTGGCTATTTTGCTTATGTCCTGTGCCACATACTGTAATTTGCATCAACAAAGACTAAGATTTTTCAACTCTTTGATTACAAAAATTAAGATAACTAAAGAGCAAAACATCAGTTAGTTTCTTCATTACTTGTTAATATTAGAGCTAAGTAAAATGTTAGAATCCTTGACTTTATTTATATTAGACTCGGGAGACCTGGCGTTGATTGTTATTGCCAACACGAAAGTGGTGCAGCTGTCCTGCAGCTCCAGTTCTTAATCAATGAGGTAAGGATTTTTTTTTTACTATTTATCTCTCTCTCTCTCTCTCTCTCTCTCTCTCTCTCTCTCTCACACACACACACACACACACACACACACACACACACACACTGTATCTGTTGATGTAATCTTTTTATATTACGATTCTAAATGCTTGAAGATATATATGTATGCAATATTATACATGGTCATATTTTTCATAAAAGACATAAAATAGAGTATACTCTATTTGTCAGTTTATTAAATTTTAAAAGAAAACATTTGTATGTATTAGAAGATCCTGTTATTATGATTGTGTAGCATAATTTATAGATTATTTAAATGTTTTTTTAAAAATTACTAAAATCTTTGCTTACTTGACTGGCCATTAAACTTTCTTTCTACACACTCTTCTCCCACTAACTTAAACTTTATAATGCTAACTTCATGTTTTGTCTTTATTCCATTAAATAATCTTTTCACTTATTTACCTATGGGCTCTTTTATCTGTATATAATATGCATTTTTTTGTATATGTATGCATTTGTGTTTATTTATGTGTCCATAGCTATTAGGACAATTGGCTGCCTACCCTATCCCTATTTTTATAGATCTGTGGTGATAAAGCACTCCCTAAAGAAAAAGCACGTATTTATAAAGTTCAGAAAGGTTGAAGATCTTCCATTAGTTGAAGGCTACTTTAATGCCTTTTTTTTAAACTAAAGTTTATTGAGGTGACAATTAGCAAAATTACATAGGTTTCAGGTGCACAATTCTGCAATATATCATCTATATATCACATTGTGTGTTCACAACTCAGAGTCAGTTCTCTTTCCATCATTTGATCCCTTTTACCCTCATCTACCATCCCCTCCCTGCTTACCCTCTGGTAACCACTAAACTATTGTCTGTGCCTTCTTGACTCAAATTTTTAAAGTGGATCCTTGAGTCTTTTAGAGCTCTTTTATGTTAAGTGAGACAGTCAGTGCAAAAATTCTCTAAGAGTTTGTGCCATACAAAATCTGCTAAGGTACTTAGCAGAGTAAACTCTTGAGGGAAAAAAATGAGGTACCACTGGTTGCTTTCTTATGGCAAGAACAGTAATTTTTTACTCAGTGTCTCTAAATATTTGTGTATATACCTCTGTAAAAATTTATAATCATAAGCATGAATAAAATGGTTCATGTAACTTTGTATCAGGGATACCTGAGGCATGACAATTTTGTGATATTGATGGATGTCCATTTCTTACTTCTCTTGGTTTAAAATCTTTCTCTGAAGGCTGTGAGATTCTCTTTATTGACCAAACATAGCATATTTCACCTTGTAGGTATTCTTGCTATAGGGTACCAAAATGAGAGAGAGAGATAAGGAAGAAAAGGGAAACATCTTTAAAATATTTTATTGTAATAACTAGTCATTAGTATCTACTATGAGAACCTTTTTGAAGTCTCACTTACTCTGTAGCTCCTAGATGAAAGATCTTAGTCTTTTGCCTTATTCATGGATGTTTACTGATAGGCATAAATTGTTTCCCAGTGTTTCCTTTGGGTTGGATCCTCTGAGAATTGTCTTCAAGGCCCTAAGTTTGCCTCTGTGTTGCATAACTAAGAATGTATAAAGACAAGCCTTCAACATCCTGTCACTGTTTACATTGTTTATCCCAAACTACTCACCTTTATCTACCTCACATTCAAGTCCTGTACCTTTTTCCAAACTTCCAACAGTTTTTGACCTCATGACTGGTAGTTTTCTTCACAGTTTTTAATCTTTTCATAAATCTTCTTTTGTAGTGCTTCTTGTAGATTCACCTTGTTTTTGTAAATGAGCCCTAGACACTCTACTGATGTGCTTACTCTCATATGTCTTATATCTCTGTTGGTGCTGTTATGTTCAGTGGTCCTGTTCACTTCCCTCCAATGATAAGTTACCTCCTAATTTTGTCATAGAATTAATAATACTGACTTCCCCCGCTTGACTTATTCAGCTACTACACTAAAATGTTATTGACATTTGTTGCTGTGTTTTAATTCCATTGCCTTTGGCATATTATATCTTTTGTAGAGCAAATAAGTATTTACTGTAGAGAATGTTTTATTAATTTCACATACCATTTTATCCTCACCCTATACTAAGTGAATTTCCACTTTCCTGAGAAATGAGATCAGTATCCTATATATCAAAAATAAATGTAGCTCATCAAGCGCTTTCAAGCAATCCTAAAAATGAAGCTATGATAGTTTTATTTTCATTTTCAATTTTACTTCAGAGCCACATGTACGTATCCAAAGAGCTGCATGTGGCTCTTGAGCCGTGGTTTGCCGACCCCTGCACTATATGGTATATGCATATTCCTTGAGCTAGTGATCCTGACCGATCTCTATGCTATAGTTTACTTGCTTCTTCTACTCCAGAATTCTTAGTCTTCCTGATTGAAGTTTGTGCAGTAGACCTTCTTTAAATTTCTAGGTTACATAGATACAAATAACTTCAGGGAAACATTCAGTAAAGTAGCTTGTTGTTTTTGCTTCCTCAAAACCCCTAAATTAAGTAAATCACTTGCTTAATTTGTCTTCTTTTTGTTCCAGGGTGCTTTGGTCAGTGCAAGTTCAGATGATACACTTCATTTGTGGAACCTTAGACAAAAAAGGCCAGCTATTCTTCATTCTCTTAAATTTAACCGAGAACGGTAAGAAGGGATGAGTTAAAAAAGTTCTTAATGTACAAGGAACTTACTTCCTGAGCAAGTTTTGGATTAACTTTTTTTTATTTCTGTTGTTTATTAAAAATTTGAGATATAATTCACATGCTATAAAATTCACTCTTTTAAACTATACAATTCATTAATTTTTAGTATATTGACAAGGTTGGGCAGCTATCACCACTCCCTAATTCTAAAACATTTCCATCCTCCCCTCCCTCCTCCAAAAAAATTCCATACCCATCAGCAGTGATTTCCCATCCTCCCCTTCCCCAACCACTGGTACTTTTGAAAGACTTTTTAAAATAACAGCAAGAAATAATTTAATGTTTATGCTTGCTTTTATAATTTATTTTCCTAGAAAATTCATAATTGATATAGATTTAGCCATCTACTAATGGGGAATTCCTGACATTTTTGTTCTTCTTGTCATAAGCCAGCACTTCAGCAATGATGTGTTCTTTTCCCTAGGCCAGGGTGCTGAAAACCCTGACCTAAAATTTAAGAGTCAAGTAAATAGTAAACATATTTCTACACCTTTTGATCATAGCAGTTACATCCTACACCCTCATCCTTTTGCTTCAATATTTTTTTACGTAAAAAAATACTGAGGCAAAAGTTTATAGATATCCAAAAATGTTGGTACTAACTGTTGAGGAACACTACATATCCAAGGTTAATGTTTAAGGTAGTAATTTGATTCAGATTCCTATTCCTATTTTATTTTATAAAAGATTTTTATTAAAAAATATAGCTAACATACATTATATCAGTTACAGGTGTACACCATAGTTATTCAACATTTATTGTATATAACTGAAGAAGTGATCACTATGATAAGTCCAGCAACCATCTGACACCATACCACGCTATCACAATATTATTGATTGTATTCCCTATGCTGTACATTACATCCCCATGACTTATTTGTTTTTTGTGTCTTTTTAAAGATTTTTATTGGGGAATTGGGGGATGGGAACAGCGCTGGGGAATTGGGGGAATGGGAACAGACAAATTGCTGTCCTTTTGTTCTTCAGTCTAGTTATGGAGGACGTTGCTTCACTGGCCCAAGTTGGCACCATCATTGCGCTCTTCCCGGGTGAGGCAGATCAGTCGCCGGCTTCTGGGCGGCCGCTCACGGCGGCTGCTGGCTGCTCGCTCACAGCGGCGCTGACTGCTCACGCTGGCTGCTGGCTACACAAAGTAGCCCATGGAAACCCACTGCAGCAGTGGGTGCAGCCTACACCATCGCCGGCAACTCATGGCAGCCCAACTCCAGGTTGAGCTGTTGTTCAATATCTTAGTTGTAGAGGGCAGTGTCACTGGCCCTCATATGTGGGATCCGAACCAGGGCCCTCTGGCATCCCAAGCAGGCTCTTAACCACCGCGCCACTTGGCTGGCCCCACTTATGTGTTTTATATCTGGAAATTTGGACCTCTTATTCCCATTCACCTCTCCCCCTCCTTTTTTTATTTTTCAATTACAGTTGACACTCAATATTGTTTTATATTAATTTTAGGTGTACAGCATAGTGGTTAGACATTTGTATAATTTAAGAAGTGATCCCCTGACCATTCTAGTACCCACCTGGCACTATACATAGTTATTATCATATTATTGACTATATTCCCTATGCTATACTTTACATCCCCATGACTGTTTTATAACTACCAATTTGTAGCTACTAATTTGTACTTCTTAATCCCTTTACCTTTTTCACCCTGCTGGCCAACCACCTTCCCATCTATCACCCCAATAAAACGAGTACCCATCTGACTCCATACATAGTTATTACCGTATCACTGACTATATTCCTTGTGCTCTCCCCTACATCCCCCTTGACTATAACAACCAATATGTACTTCTTAATCTCTTCCCCTTTTTCACTCACCCCCTCAACCCCTCTCTCATCTGGCAACCTTCAAAATGTTCTTTGTATCTATGAGTTTGTTTCTGTTTTGTTTCTTTATTTGTTCCTTGGATCCCACTTATTAGCAAAATCAATTGAATCTGTCTTTGTCTGACATAATCCACTCAGCACAATACCCTCCATGCCCATCCATGCCCCTGCAGATGGCAAGAACCCATTTCCTTCCATGGCTGAGCAATATTCCATTGTATATATGTACCACCTACTCTTTATCCATTCATTCACTCAGGGACACCCAGGTTTCCTCCATATCTTGGCATTGTAAATGATGCTACAATGCACACATAGATGCCCATTTCCTCTTGAAGTAGCGTTTTGGGTCTCTTCGGATAAATACCCAGAAGTGGGATCACTGGGTCCTTTGTCTCTTGTGATAGCCTTTGTTTTAAAGTCTATTTTGTCTTGTATAAGTATTGCTACCCCAGCTTTTGTTTGTTTGTTTGTTTGTTTGTTTTCATTTTCATGAAATATCTTTCCCCATCCCTTTACTTTCAGTCTGTGTGTCTTTTGATCTGAAATGAATCTCTTGTAGGCAGCAACTTTACAGGTTTTGTTTTCTTATCCATTCAGCCACCCAATGTTTTTTGGAGCATTTAGTCCATTTACATTAGAAGTACTTGTTGATATGTAATTATTCTTTTTTTTTTTTTTTTTTTTTGTCTTGAAGAAGTCCTTCTAATACTCCTTTTAATACTGGTTTGGTGGTGATGAGCTCCTTTAGCTTTTTCTTGTCTGTTAAGCTCTTTATCTCTCCTTCAATTTTAAATGATAGTGTTACTGGGTAGAGTACTCTTGGTTGTAGCTCCTTGCTTTTCATCATGCTGACTATTTTGTGCCAATCTCTTCTGGCCCACAGAGTTTCTGTTGAGAAATCCACTGACAACCTTATGGAAGCCCCCTTGTAGGTAATTAGTTGCCTTTCTTTTGCTGCTTTTAGGATTCTTTCTTTGTCTTTAAACTTTTGCATTTTAATTATGATTATTGGGTGGGTCTGTTTAGGTTCATATTGTTTGTGACGCTCAGTGATTTCTGGTCTTGAATATTCATTTCCTTTGCCAGGTTAGGGAAGTTTTTCATCATTATTTCTTCAAATAGGTTTTCAGTTCCTTGCTCGCTCTTTCCTCCTTCTGGTACCCCTATGATATGAATGTTGTTGTGCTTGATGTTGTCCAGAGGTCTCTTAAACTATCCTCATTTTTGGGGGGGTTCTTTTTTCTTTTTGTTCTGATTGGGTGTTTTCTGCTATCTTGTCTTCCAAATCACTGATTCGATCCTCTGCTTCATCTAGTCTGCTGGTGATTCCTTCTAGTGCATTCTTCATTTCAGTTATTGTATTCTTCATTTCTGACTGGTTCTTTTTTATGGTTTCTGTGTCCTATTTTAGGCTTGTTATCTCTTTGTTGAAGTTCTGACTAAGTTCCTTGAGCATCCTTATAACCACTGTTTTGAACTTTGTTTCTGGTAGCTTGCGCACCTCCATTTTGTTTAGTTCTTTTTTCTTCAATTTTCTCCTGTTCTTTCATTTAAGATGTATTTCTTTGTTTCCTTATTTTGGCTGATTTTCTGTGTTAGTTTCTATGTAATAGGTAGATCTGCTACATCTCCTAGTATTGCCAGTGGCTTTATAAAGTAGGTGCCCTGTTGGGCCTAGTGTCACAGACTCCCTGGTCACCTGTGCTGGGTGCTCCAGGAGTGTCTCTTATGTGGGTTGTGTGTGCCCTCCTGTTATAGTTGAGCTTCAATTGCTATTGAGATGTAAGTGGGTGGGATTGACCCTCATGATGACTGGCTCTGGGGTTTGGCCATGTCCACAGCTTGCAAGCTGCTGTGTGGGAGTCTTACCCCACTAAGTGGGATTCACCCCAAGTGGGCTCTGGTGACTGTTGAGACTGCCCTTTGGGTGTGCCACTTGTGGAGCTAATTGGTTGGTGCTCTGCTGTGGTCTGTAGCCAACCTCCAAGTATGTTGGTTCTGAGGTCCCTTGAGAGGGGCTAGGTGAAGGCCAAGGTCAGCCCCTGCTATAGCCAGCCAGGGACTACCTAGCAGGAGCTACAAAGTGATCCACAGGTGGTTGTTGCCTGTGCTGGACCTGGAGGTGCATGGCAGAGGCCACACTGTGAACCGAGGGTGATTGTCAGCAGTACCGGGTCTGGGGTAGCTCTGCAAAAAGCCAGGACACTCTGAGGTCTGCTGCCAGCGGCCAGCTCCTGTAAGGTTCAGTGGCTGATAAATCCTTGTGAGGTATGGAGTTGGGGGTGGAGGGGTCTCAGTGAGTCACCAGAGTGGAACAAGTGGAGCTCACCAGACCAATTCAGATTCAGATGTGGCCATGGGCTTGGGCGGAGAATCAACATAGGAAAGATGGCTCCTACCTGCTGACTGTACAGGAGGAGGACCCTACACAGGAAAATGGCAACTGTTTCTCCAGTCCTCACTCCACAGCCACACAACTCATTTTTTTCCCCATGTGTCTTCGATGCCCCTTCAGCCAGTCACTGTCCCTCTGCTGGAGCCCAGGGTGAGTGCCTGTGAGCAAGTGAGTCCATGTGTAGGCCCTTTAAGAGGACATCTGGCTTTCCTGCAGCCTTTCATCTCACCTGGATGGTCAGAATCCCCACTGTTTTTCACAGCCAGTTGTTGTGAGGGCTCCTTTTCCCAGCACCAGTACTCCGGGCTGGGGAGCCTGATGTGGGGCTCAGATCCCTGGCTCCTCCAAGGTGAACCTTCGTGGCCTAGATATTCCTCACTATTTTCAAGCACTACACGGATGTTTGGGGCCAGCCTGTTTTTCTCACCTCCTACCTGTCTTGATGTGGGTTCTTTACATCCTTATTTATAAAACTTCTGTTCAGCTAGACTTCAGATGGTTCTCCAGGTTGATTGTTCTATTATTTGTTTTTAAGTTTGATGTGTTCACAGGATGAGACAAACACAGTGTTTACTCTGCCATCTTGGACCCCTCTTTCAGATTTCACATTTTAGGATGAAATATTAATAATCAGAAAGAGAAAATTATATGAATGGATATGGGAAAAGTTATTGACTTTATTTGTAACA